ATTAAATGTTTGAAATATGGTTTTTCAGACGAATCGATTTAGTAGTCGGCGCTCCTTTCTATTACAGCCGCAGCGAAGGCGGAGCCGTATATCTGTATATCAATTCAAACGGAAAGTTCACCAAATCTACTCGTCTGACCGGCAAACCCGAGTCCAGATTTGGCTTTGCTCTTGGAAATGCTGGTGATCTCAATAAGGTTTTGCCTCTTTCTTAATCTCTTATTTATTGACTAATACTTAACATTTCCTTTTTGTCATAAATCCTATTACACATTGAGATAAAGTAGTAGTTTTATTGATATGATGGCTATACTTATGAATGTTGTGGTGACAGATACAGAGTCTGCACTACATTCCTTATGTAGTATAAGTTATACACATTTATTGACACAAAATATAAATTTTATGTATTTTTTCTAAATATCCTTTTGCTTGCATTAAGAGGGAAACTCTTTGATCTTATTTATAAATATAATATTATTGTAAATTTTGTCGTATTTTACAATATATGCTTAACTTTCTGTCATTTAAATAATCNGCTTGCATTAAGAGGGAAACTCTTTGATCTTATTTATAAATATAATATTATTGTAAATTTTGTCGTATTTTACAATATATGCTTAACTTTCTGTCATTTAAATAATCATTTCTTTTCTAATTACCTACAAAAATGTTAAGCGATTTTGGATTAGAATTTGTTTATATTTTCACTCCTTTTCTATGCTATATATAAACACATCAATAGAGCAGCGATTCCTTAATATTTATCAATTTTAACGGAATTAAAATCATTATTTCTTATATTAATTAAATAATTGCTATAAAAAGTGTGATAATTCTGATAATTGCATTTCTATATAGGACGGAAATCACGATCTAGCGATCGGAGCGCCCTATGAAGACAATGGTGTTGTATATATTTATTTGGGAACTGCTTCTGGAGTTAAAGAAACTCCATCTCAGATAATAAGAGCTTCAGATTTGCCAAATGAAATTCAAAATATTAAAACATTTGGTTATTCTTTATCGGGTTTGTATGCAATTTATTAATTTACAATTTCATATATAAATGACAATTTAATTTAATATTCTATAAGATATTTGTTAATTTATCATTATGAATTGCTTTTATGGAATGATAGTTAGGCCTTTTCATTTCCATGCAATCTTGTTTATTTAATTGCTTGAAATCTAGATCTCATTTATTAGCAGAACTTTTGCTTAATATTCAGAATATAATTAGAAACGAATTCATTGTTTTTATTTTAAAGATTTATTGTTTTTACTGCCTATAAATAGAGTTAGAAATGTTTTTGTGATATTTGTAGTTATAATCAGTTAAATGTAAGATTAAATTTTTGGAAGATTTAATAACAGTAAACATCATTCCATATGTTCTTATAATAAGAATCTTATTGTTGTAATGACTTATTTTTGCTAATTATAAGTTTTTGTAAATAATTTAACGTTAAAACAGTTTTAATTGTTTTGTTGATAAAGAAAATATTGGTTATAATTTCTAAATGCGTAAATCACACATATTGTAGGTACACATGATATGGACCAAAACGGTTATCCGGATCTATTGGTTGGCGCCTATGAGAGCGATGCCGTACGTCTCACACATTTAATAATGGATAATAAAAGCATAAAACTAACCATTTTTATAATTTTTAATTTTAAAGACACTGCTCTTTAGAGCTCGACCTATAATAGACATTCAAACTTCAGTTTCGGGAGAATTAAGTCAAATCGATCCGAACCGAGAGGGCTGTAAAGACGATCCCAATTCAAAATTAGTGTGTTTTTCATTCAACGCATGTTTTAGATTCAATACAACTTTGAGATCTACGGTCTCTTCTGTTCTTCGACTTCACTATCGTATTGAAGCCGAAACATACACTGGTATTAACATTACGGCCAACAATACTGTTATGTGTTTCTAATCAATATTTTCATAATTAGGTAAAAAGTATTATAGAGTCAAATTTGGTTCGACCACAGATTCAGACACTCCTAATATTGTTGAACGAGATATTTCTTTAAGAGGTAATAATTAGTTGAAATGGAGTTGAATTACATAATGAATATAATGTGAATTGATGTGTGTGTGGACAGGGAATGATGTTCACAGTGAGCACTGTTCCAAAGAAATTGTTTATCTCAAAGACAAGTCCGATATACAGAATGCAGTGATGTTTGAGTTGACGTATTCACTCATTCAGAAAGAGCCACGAATGCCAACAGACGGCGAAACTCTTCCCGATATAAACAAACTGCCGATTCTTAACCAGGAAGAGGCGCACCGCGTATT